ATATATATAGCGGCAAATCTGACTTTTCATGAGTTTTGATATTTTGCCATAAAAACGAATTAAACATTGAAGGGCAATCTCGTCTTTTCAAATGCTTTAAGGACTTGTATAGATCAAAATTCTCACAGGAGTATCTTTGTCCAAAAAAATGGTTAAATTGTATATGACTGTCAATATGACAAATCTCAGGAGGTGTTATTATAATTAACTCTATAATTTATGTGTGTGTGTGTGTGTTTTTTTTTTTTTTTTTTTTGGGGTTAGTAAAAATAGTGTTTATATATATATATATATATATTACAAATTGCATTGTTTCGCACTATGTAATGTGAATGGTTCCAAAGGTTGCATTGCTTAGGCCATTTTTAGCCAATTTTGCACGGCCCTCTCTTTTTGACTACTGATTGACGACTATATATAGCTTGTGTAATTTATCTGATTTTTTTGAACAAAAATGGGCATGTAATATATCATGATGGATCATCATACGGGGCCCATTTTTTATGGCAGGAATTTCAGAAATAAATTTTTGAGCTCTTGCTTTTACACGGCACTTCCAGTTTAATTACCAGTGTGTTATGAGATTGATATACGTATTTTATGAGAAAATAAAAAAAAATAATAATATATATATCATGATAGATTATTGACCAATTTTTTCTTTGATGGAAAAAACTGAAAATTTTATTGAAATAAAAGAATATACAAACACGAAAGCCACAAGGAACATTCTCCAATCAAAAAAAGCTGTAAGTATACCTTTCCAAAAAAAAAAAACGCGCTAACGGTGAAGAAACATAGGAGGAAGAAGAATAGAGCCATGGGTCAAGGTAGTGGTGGCCCCACTGATTGATTTTCTTGGTGCAGAATTGCTTGAGAGAATAACAAGTCTTCGTTAAGTCTTCATTATTTTTAGTAGGATGGTGAAGTGTAGTATTGTAAAAAGAGCACATACCAATTCTCTATCGAATCCTAGCGTCATTCATGTGTGTGATCGTGTGCAAGTGATGAGATTCCTCCAAAGCATTATAGCAACCGTCTTATAAGGTATATATTTTCAATTCATTATAACATTGCCCTAGTTTTAAATTTGTTGGACAAGATTATTTAATTAATGTAAGTCCTCTAAGTATGCCTAAGAATATTGTGTAAATAAATGTGTGCAAACTTTATATTTAGTGTTTTATTTGTGCGTAAGATTGGTCGGATCATATAATCTCGTATTCTGTAATAATTTTTCAAATATCATCCTAATTATATTTTATACATACACTCAAACATCTTCAAATCCCATCCCCATCTCTCGTTAACTATCACTAATTGCTAACCATTATCAGGATACAATAATAAATAAAAATGTTTGTAAATGTTTCTTTTGGAAGTTATCACTTGTCACATTGAGGGAATGGAAGTAGGTTTGGTGAATCGATATGCTATGCTAAGGGGTTCTTTGGTAACGTTTCTATTTATGTATTCCCCATTTTTTATTCTTATTTCTACTTCTTTATGTTTCTAGACTTTTTTGCTAAAGTCAGAATCAATACATGCAAGTCTCAATCTTCCATCAGAATTAATACTCCAAGGTAACTATTGCAACAACTGCCAATCAAATTAACAAATTTACATTTTAATGATTCAAAATTCTAACAACTGTAGTATTATATATATATATATATATATATATATATATTCTAATGAAACTATATGTAGTTGGGTTATATATCTTGCACTTGGTAATCTTTTCAAAAGGTTAAAGCGCTCTCACGCTATGTAAGGCTAATTAGAAGACCAAATAGTTAGACCATTATATTGGGCATATGTGAGTGTGTGTGTGTGTTTCAGCAAAAGAGGCATTTAAGCCCACCGATACTTCAAAGACCATTCAAGGCCCAAACGGATGAAGCTGAACCATCATCCTAGTTTTCTTTGTTTGGGTGTAACAATAACATAAAAGGTGTGTTTGGGTGTACTGTTCACAACGGCTCATAAGGGCATTATGGGCATTAAATATATATTGTGTGATCACGTGACCGCACATGATGATTTTAACGGCAAAATTCCACCGGCATGTCGCTGGATAGGGTAATTTGCAACAAAGGTTTTTTTTATAACTTTTATAATTCGGGGGTTAGTAGTTGCTGATTGGCTAATAATTGGGGTTTTTTTTTCTTTTTTTTTACCCATAAAATTTATTAACCAAATAGAACTGTTCAAATTAAAATGTGAGAGTTCGAGTTCTTAAGAACAAATGGGTAGAAATGGCAACGGAACCAGCTTGGGGCAAGGGTACCCAATCCCATTTCCATCCCCGTTTAGCATAGCATCCTCATCTTCCCAAAATCATTTAGACGTAGTGGGACGAGAATGAGTTAGGAGAATACTTTTGTATATGTATTAAGAATCTAACAAAGGTAAATAATGAATCAATTTTTTTGATTCTTTTTCTCTTATGGTAAGAACAAGATTCAAATTCTCAATTATAACTTAGAGATTTAATATTATTGTAGTAACATTAGACTAATACATATAAGTTCTCAAATAAAAATAACCCAAAAGGATATCTAGTGATTAGAATCTGATAACTTAAGATTAGCATATACTTAATATTTTTTAATATAAAAATAAATTAGAACGACAAAATTGTAGTTTATCACTATAAACGGAGTAGGCTAGTGGCCTTTTTCCATTCCCGTCCCAAAAAAAATTAACTGTGTTCTAAACGGGACAGGGCGAGATGTTTACATCCTCCAATAAATAAAGAAATAAAAAAAATTAACGGTAGCCTAATTCTAAAGCAAAATGGAAAAATGAAAAAGTGGCTTATGGTATCTACAAAAGCTTAGGCCCATTAGTTACCAAATTATGCCTCGACATGGTCACCACACTTTATTCGTTGAATATGATGATTCATACATGGGCCTCTGAGATAGCTCTTCATTGGACCCAATTGGCAAAGCCACAACCCACTTTATTGAACTAGCCCACACCACCATCGTGACACCACCTTCCCACCTCTCTCCAAAATTATGAAAATAAATAAAATCAAAAAAATAATTAATTACTAATTCCATAAGAAACTCACACACCTACTTAATTTTTATAAAAATTTTAAATTTTAAATTAAGAATTACTAGCCGCAGTTCACTCGCAAATGTGTCTGGACCTTAATTATTATTTTTTTTCTTTTTCTGTTATTTAACAGTTGAGGTCAACCACAGGACAAATGTGTTGTGGTCGTTGTGGCTGATGCGATAACGGCCGCTACCATTCTTGTAAAATTCATTTTCTTTTAAATCCACAAAATTTCTGTGATGTGATAAGATTAGGTCGATGGACACTAAGTCATTTTTGTAAAAATGATCCATATCTTATATCATGTCATTTATTGATTAATTGACATATCTAATACCATTAATAAGGATGGTCGTGATTTAGTCAAGTGTTGTATCTACATCGTAGAACTCAAACCAATCAACAGTTAAAATGCAACCAACACCTCGAGCAATTGTCGTCAACAATTCTATTTCAGTAAGTTTAGTGTTTGGGATTGCTTCTTTATTATTGAAAAATATTTCAAAAAATTGTAGTGGAAAAAAACATGCGTTGATAGGTAGTAGAGTTTACGTTAAAGAAACGTGTTTAAGTGAAATTAGGAATCCCAACTTTTAAAATTTCGTGACAGTAGAGATTTATATTTTTAGGTAACTAATTTTTTTTAGACAATTTAATCCCTTTATATTTTTTATAAAATACAATTTTGCTCCTACTACAAACAAATAGCAAATAATATTGGGATTCTATAACAAACGAAGATTTTAAATTATTCTGAACTCTGCAGGCGCCTTCCAGATCAAATATAAATTAATCATCATTAAAACATGTTTAATTCATTTACATTTTAGTACTCAATACAAATTCGATATCATAAACAAAATATGTAATATTTTAAAATAATACTAATAAATTATTGAACTCAATGGAATTTTATAATACTTAATAGGATGGAATTAGCACATCTTGAGTGCAAAAGCAATATTATTACCAAACAAATTTAAAAGTGTTTCAAGTATAAAAAATGCTTTATACAATATGTCATCAAACGCATAAGTATTTTTTACTAAAGCATTTTTATAACAGCTATACTATTAAGAGTGTTTTTAACATTCTAACAGCAATCCCAAACGGGCAAACAGTGTCTGGAGTCCATCAGAACAATTGTAGCCCATTCTTCAATTATGAACTTTATTATAAAATAAATGAGTATACTATGAAAATGGTATAAGTCTCAATATTCTAATATGAAATAAGACATTATAGTGCAACAATAAAGTGCATTATTCATTTTCCATGTTTGGAGTGACAGGGCTTCATGGGGAGTTTGAAATTTAGAATGAGACTCCATTTTAAAATAAAACGAGATTAATGGAATTTTAAATGACAAAAATTAGAAATAAAAATAAAAATAGATTTCATATAATTTGAAAAATACAAAAGTAAACAACTAAACATCACCCTTTATCTAATTTAATTCAAAATATATCTTAAATTTCAATTTCTTTCAATCTTTTTATTTTTTGAAATTCAATTATTTGATTTATGAGATGATCAATCCACGTCTACGGCTGAGATTCAAGACAACTGTTCGTTGGTGTGGAAGGACACGAAGGGTCCCAAATCTCCCAAACCAGAAGGACTCGATATTACATACCGTGTTTTTGCATTATAAGGAAATATGCATTTAATCTTAATCAGGACTCTGTCTGGCGCAATCTACACCGTCAATTACCCATTGATGTACGTGTCAAACCAATCCAACGGCTCTCGTTAAAGGAGTGTGTACTCCTTAGACACCTGAATCGACCACAATTCTATACACACACTCGTCTATATAACTCACCCCCTCCTCACTCTGCTTTTCCTCGTAGAAACCCTCTCTCTCTCTCTAGAATTTCTCTCTCTCTCTCTCTAGATTCTATAACTCTTCGGTTTCTGTTCATGCAATGGCGTCTTCAAGCATTGCGTTCGTGATGGTGATGGCATTATTCTTGGGATCCGCGATCGCTCAGTCTCCGTTGGCCGCGCCAACACCGTCTCAGTCGACCGCTCTTTCTCCGGTGGCTCAGCCTTCTGCTCCGGTGAATACTCCTCCGGCGTCTGCTCCATCTCCGGTGGCCGTTACCTCTCCTCCGTCTCCTCCCGTGGCATCCCCTGCTCCGGCAACTGTTCCATCGTCGATCGCCGGAACTCCAATTGAAGCACCCGCACCAGCGCCGAACGGCGCCGCCGTGAACATTCTCTCCGCAGGTTCCGTCGCCGCCGGTTTGGTAGCCGTTGCTTTGTTTGCATAGGTCTGACTGTCGGAGTGGAGGTTTCTCTCTCTAGATAGTCTGTTATGGACAAACTTTCTCTCTATAGTGCCGATTCGGTAGTGTTATTAAATGATTACTAGAGTCTTTTATTAGCGATTGTATTACATTACATCTCTTTTTGTTTTAATCTATTAATATATATTAATATTATTTGCGATATTGTTTTTGTTTGAGACATGTTTGATTATGTTAATGTGGTATGGAGCAAATGTTTTTGTTTTTTATAAATTCATTATATATATTTTAATTAATATATCTTAAATCATTAATGAAAAAATTGTTAATTAGTTGCAGATAAACACAGTTTTAGGGTTTATACAGATATTCTGTGACAGCTAAGTCTTGGTAGCTTTTCTGTTGTACTATACCTGTATTTGGTCAAAAGACAATGGTGACCCTTTCGCTTTTGAAAATTGTTAAAATTTATTCGTACGTCTTTTTGGTAATTAAGCTATTGTAGCGGGTTAATCTTTAAGCCCTATGTAGCTTTTCTATGCTATTCTTTTGTTTTGGCCAAGCATTTTTCTTTTTCTTTACGACGAAAAAGTTTTTTTTTTGGTTTTTTCGAGATCCAATCAAAATTTGTATTCATGGTTAAGGTTCTATTTAATAATTTTTGGTTGCTCAATACAAATATTATTAGATCTTTTTAATTCCAATAAGAAATTAAAATAATTAAGAATGGAATAGAAATGGCATTGGCCTCCAATCTTCGCATTCAATTATTTTTAAAAAAATTTGTCAAACAAATAATTATTCAATTAAGTTCCAAATTATTTTCACACCATCAAAAATTGGGATTAAAAATAATTCTTGGGCATTTATTAAGAGTTTTTTCGCAAGGGATTGAAGTTAGTCATAAAAAAGAGGGCATAATCTCTACGAGACTATGGCTTTATTTAATTCTTTGATTAGCAATGTTTTTTCTGTATATATATATTTAATTTCAATAGATTTTATTATTATTAAATTTTATGAAAAATCACACACGTTGAAGTCATCATCAATGGTTGTGATTATTAATAGTTAATTAGTTGAGGATAATAAAATAAACAGAGTTAGGGTTAATAAAGAGATTCTGTTGGAAGCTTTTTATGTTGTACTGGGGCTGTATTTGGTTAAAAGGCATTTGTGACCCTTTGCTTTTTAAAATTTGTTAAAATTTATAGCAGGTTTTTTTTGGTAATTAAGTAACCTTTACATGGCATTTAAGTTATCGTATTGGCGTCAATCTTAAGCCCTTTGTCTCTTTCTTTGCTGCTTTTGTTTTCGAATATACAGATTGCGCTCATATTCATTAAATTTTCAAAACTCCATGGACATGCAGAGACCAAGACAAAACTTTTATTTGTTGAAATAATAATTAAGGTGAAACAGATAAGAAATGACGAATTTCTTTATGATAAACAGATTCATTTTGCAAGTTCGTTATTACGAGTAGTTCCCACCTAAGTTTGTCAAATCAATATTAAACTTTGGAAGCTTTTTTATTTAAAACCTAAGCCTAAATTACTCACTTTGAATTTATGTTGTAATCACATGATTTTACATTTCAAATATTTTTATCCAAATGAATGTTAACAGCTTTCCATAGAGATTGATATGCATGGAACAAATGAAATTGGAAAAGACAACCCCTCCTTTATTTGCATTCATTTATTCAGTTAAATAATTCTATCTAACTCATCGACTTGAATATCATTATTTTTATTCAATGATGATTACGAATGCCTTCCATCTTGCATAAATAACTAACCAAATGCATTCCCGTCAAACAATTCTGCCTAACTCATAAATATCATTATTCTTATTCAATTAAGTTCTAATTTATTTTCCAATCATTAAAAAAAAATTTTTGATGTATATGGCATGTGATATTGAAGATTTCCATCAAGTAGCACACAGAAATTTTCAGTAGCATCAAGTAGCTCACAGAAATATTATATATTAATGTGTTTCCTTCTATAATTAATTTTTTTTAAATTATATATTTCCTTCAATTTAGAAAAAAAAAAAAATGTAAATTAGGTAAATCATTAGAAAGGTAAATTTATTTATTATTAAATAATATAATGAAACTCAGATATGTAGGGAAACTCTTTGTACTATATAGATAACGGATATAGATTGCATTAGGTTGGTTTTTGAAATCTAATGAATTTTTTTAATAATTATCTCAAAATCCAACAGTTAATGAGGGAATTATTATTGAAATGGAAAAGTCCCTCGAAAAAAGGGAATTTAAACGTAAGCTGTCTTGAATTGATACGTTATCAAATAATAATTACTTAGTATATATAACTTATATAATAATTTAAGTACTAAGTACTTAATTAATTATAGGAACTTAGTCTAGAAGCATTATTAACTACTTGATAATAAAAGTATTTTTAAGAATATTTATTTTATATAATTTATAATATACAGTTAGGACTGCAAAAGCCAAATTGTAGTCCATTTAGGAGGTTCCACTCGTTTAATATAAAAAAAGTTACCATCGATATCATACTTATATTTTTGCTCTTTTTTTATTCATAGAAGTTTATTCTTACCCTAGAAATAATTTGTTCTTTCTAAACCTTCAAATAATATGGGCTTCATTTCTTCTTGACGGGCTTGGTCTTCACTTGGGCCAACCTCTCGGTCAAAACAGGCCTTACTCTTGATCAGAACGGGCCTTGAATGAGAGTGAGCGTGCCGGGGGTCGCTGGGCCTCCTTCTTTACTGGTGAGCCAGGCTGGACCTGGCTCAGAGGGATTTTATGCCCCCTCAATTACTGTAACTCATTCATGAACTTATACAAACTTGCACAAGTCTATATATGTTCATGAATGTAGTTCATAAATCTATACAAAGTCTATGTTTGTAAATGTGTTTATAATTGGATGTTTATGAACACATACAAACCAGTATAGATGGACCAGTTAAAGCCCGCTCGAAACAGAGGTCAGCATGGGCCGAACATGGCCCGTTTTGCAAATACTTAATTGATTAATGCTTCACTTGTATTGTAGGGATGTTATAGGATTGTCTGGTGTGAACATGTGCCGAACTCTTTGACGAGGTAGGAACTGAATCTTGATCGGATGTTATAAGGGCATTATTGGATTATGACCAAAAGATTTTAATATCTGACTTGACTGCAACCACAAGAAAGTGAAACCAATTTATCGCAAATTTGCAACCTAATAATGAAAGTGAAACCAATGACCAGGGTGGGGACCCACCATTAGAATCTCTAAGGCTCCATTTGGATCGGGGATAGTGAGAGAGAGGAAAGAAAAGTATATTGTATATTGTATATTGTGTTGGGATTGTTTGAAATGAGAGAAAAAAAAATGGTTGGGAGATATTGTTTTCCCAAAACTGATAAAGATTGGGAGGGAAATGGGATGGTAGTATCTGACTTGAATGCGACCACATGAAAGTGAAATCAATTTATTGCAAATTTGCAACCTAATGAAAATGAAACCAATGACCAGAGTGGGGACCCACCATTAGAATCTCTAAAAAGCTGCGTTTGGATTGAGGGATTTGGAGCCTTGGGAGAGATTGAAAGAAAGGAAAGAAAAAGAAATTTGCAACCTAACGAAAGTGAAACCCATGACCAGGTGGGGACCCACCATTTGGACCTCTAAGGTTTCGTTTGGATGGAGGGTTTTGGAGAGATAGTGAGAGAAAGAAAAGAAAAAGATATTATATATTATGTTTGGATTGTTTAAAATAAAAGAAAAGAAAGGATTGAAAAGAATAAGGAGGGATACGATCTTCCCAAAAATGAGAAGATTGGCAGAGAGATAGTGGGGTTAAATAATATTTTATAATTTTGAAGCTACTATTAACAATTAGAAGGTAGAATTTGTTATTCCACTCATATCATATTGGTTGTTATCATTTTATTTCTTTCTTCTATCTTATCCAAACAAAAATATTATCATTTCTTTTTATTTATTTCCTATTTATTCAAATATAAATAGAGATTATTGATATCAATTTTTATTTATTTATTTATTTTCTCTCCTAACTAAAGTATTATTTCTTTCTCTCTCCTATGTATCTAAACGGAGCCTAAGTAAACCCATGGTGCATTTTACTAAAAATTAATTAATTAATTAAATTAAGAATTAAATTTTATGTTTTAAAACTTTGTAAGTGTTAAATGTAAATTTAAATTGATATTTGTTTGAATTTGAAGTATTAATAAGTGAAGTATTTCTTGGTCAAAATTTATCCATTTTTACTAAAATTTATTTATTTTAAGTGATATCCAAAAGGAGTCACTAAATCACTTAGTTGGATTGTCATTTAAGTAATGCATTGAGTTATCAAAAAGCACTTAAAGGTGCTATTTGAAAATAAAAAAATAAAAAATAAAAAATAACAACAATAACGGAATATTAAGGGCCTGTTTGGTTTGTGTAGTGTAGTGGTGTGTGGTATTCCCTACAGTGCTACAGTAGCCCATTTCAAAACACATGTTGTTTGGCTCGCCTTATTGTGTTCTCAACAGTAATGGAACACTTTCAGAACAAACCTAATATTTGGCCCAAAAGCTGAAACAACAATTTGGTGTTCTATGTTGTTCCAGCCCATCTTTTTTACTGTAGCGGAGATTAGAGGAAAATTTTTATTAGGGCAAATCATTTCAGCCTCCCAATCGCCTTCGTCTCTACTCTCGTTCTCAACTCTGGAACTTGCTCCATCTCTCTCTCTGCAACTGCAAACACAAAATCTATAAGGATCAGAAGTTCAAAACAGGCCCTAAGCAATACTCGATCTCTCTATCTGCAACTGCAAACTTGTATGGGTTTTGTTTAAATTTTTTTTTTTAAGGCAAATCATTTCAGCCTCCGAAACGCCTCTATCTCTATTATTGATCTCTCTCTCAGCAACTGCAAACTTGTATGAGTTTTGTTTTAATTTTTTTTAGGGCAAATCATTTCAACCTCCCAAACGCCTCCATCTCTATTCTCGATCTC